TCAGAATTCACGCGGATGTGGAGGGAGAGAGACTCGCTGGGAGGCGCTCCAGCGCTCGGCTCTTCCTCGTTCACCACTGAAGGCTTTGTACGCTCGGATGCTCCGCTGGGCTGCTTCAATTCGAGGCATTACCAAATACTTGAAGTTTTAAAAACTATCATTTCAGATGCTGGCACGGGTGTTACTAAAGTAAAAATAACTTCAGCAGTTGACTTTTCCGCATTCAAACAAAACTGGGCACCGAGTCCTACCGACTTTTCTCTCCCTCCTGCGTGAACCAGCGATGGCAAGCCCTGTGCCCACCCTCTCCGCAGCCCGCGGGGCCCAGCGGCCACTGGCCGCCTAGCGGGGGGTACTCCTCCCGCTGGCCGTGCCCAGCCAAGCCGCGGGACGCACACCTCGACGTTGGTTTCCTTTCACTCTCCTGGGGTGCCGCTCCCCTGATCTTCAGCACCTAGGGCGTAGTACGTCCTCAGTGACTGTAGTTGTCGGAAAAAGGCCTTACACTGCCACAGTGCTCACATTTCAGGGTATTAAAAAATACATTATGCTGCGTCCTTCCCAATCCTGGAAGGGTAAGTATCAAGTGCTCACCATTGTTGCAGCAGCTCTTTGGGGAGTGGGAGCCTTAATGATTTCGATTGCCAAAGCATTTTCGGCTTGCATGATAGACTTCGGCCTTTCAAGGGAATGAACAGGAAGGAAACTTGTCAAATGATTCCTGGAGAACCTAGTCTGCTGGACTTGGCCATTTTGCGGCAGGTGGCTCACAAAGCATTGATAACTTATTTTTCTTGACTTCAAATATCTTAAACACCTTCCGTGGGCTTGTTGTAGTGAGACACAACCTCCCCACGCCCCCGTTTCATTCCTCTAAGCTTAAAGACCCTGGCAGGATGGCAGTGAACACCAAAACCAAACTCACTGCCATCAAGTTGTCGCTCAGTGACCCCACAGGACAGGGTAGAACTGCCCCCATGGGTTTGAGACGAACTTTTTTACAGAAGTAGCTGAGGGTGGTTTTGAACTGCTGACTTTGCAGTTAGCAGCCCAATGCTGTAACCACTCTGGCACCTCAAGGCACCAAATAAAGGTAGCAAATCTGCCTGTATCTGGTGATTTTTAAAAAATTTGTGGATTGAGTGGTGGTGGGTGATACATTTCAGACCATCAGCTCTGCAGTCGTTTGGCCTCTCAATCCCTCCACCCCCACATTCTATCAGTGTTTCTTCCCTCTCGGGGTTTTCCATCTCCAACATGTCAGCCCTCTAGTGCGTCACTGCATCGCCCCTCCCCACCCTGTTGCTAATGTGCCCCTAAGTTGGTTCTGACCCACACCGAGCTGCTCATGTACAAGAGGGAGAAACTGCCCGGTCCTGTGCCACCCTCCCTCGTTTTCGAGTCCGTTGTTGCAGCCTGTTGCCTTTGCAATGCAAGTCTCTGCCTTGGTTCGTACCTTACAGTAGTGGTCTCCTACAGCATTTGCCCTTCTGTGATTGACCAACTTCATCAGCATGATCTCCACATGCACCCATGTCATGGGGTGCTTTGGGGTTTCATTTTTTAGCGGTGCATAGTATCTCGTGCGTGCATGCGTGTGTGTACCAGGTATGTTCCTTTACCCATTCTCCTGACGTACACTGGGCTGTTACCAGCTTATCGCTATTGTAAACTGTGCTGTGATGTGCATGGGAGCGTCCATCTGTCGTGTTCCTTACTTCTTTAGGACATATACCCAGCAGAGGTATTGCCAGCTCACATGGGCTCAGTACTTTCATTTTAGAAACACTCAACTGTATACAACTCCACTGCCGAAAGAAACAAAATCCAAAATTTTCAATCATGAAGTACTGGAGCCCGCTACATATCAATCATTTTCTCAAGTCCTAATTGATTCACAAAGAAGCCTTGGTGGTGAAGCGGGTTCCCCACTGGGCTGTGAACCACTAAGTCCGCAGTGCCAAACCGCCAGTCGTTCTGCAAGACAGACAAAGGCTTTCTATTCCCATAAAAGTGTTAAGGTCTGAAGACAACATGCCGGCGCGGAGTAGG